AAAGCCTAGAGATCCATAAATGTCTGGAGAGCTAGAGAAGAAAACCTCCCTTGTAAATACAAAGGAGTGCTCATAATCTTAGTGATTTCTCTGATTTAAGATGTTTTGTCTATTGCAGAAAATTTACAAAGGGTGATTAGAGTTCAAGTAAATACCAAGGCAGAACTTACAGCTCATGGCTTCATTTCATATGGCACATTATAAGACCTACTGCTTCATAGCAAAGATAGATCTTCTGCAGGCATTTGATTCACATGGGAATTGCAGGCTGTGATTATTTCTTTTGAAAATTGTATAATGCAAAGGTGTGTGTTGCATGGGTGCCTGCCAAAGGGATTTACAGGTCTAGTTTGGCCATCATTACAGAAGTTCCTCACTCTGAGTTTCTTACACTTGACAAAGTAAGAGGAGATTTAGGTGAGGAAGTAATTATTATTGTTATTATTTTTAGCTTTTGTTAGAATTGAATATTGAGAAATGGTGAGCTACAGCTATTTCTTCACTGCCAAGTGATCTTCAGGAATTACTATCTATCTCTGAATTTACATTCTTTACAATTACTATATTTTAAAAAACAAAATCTCTGGTAACTTAGAGGTAAAATGTATTTCTTACTTTTCTTTAATGGATACATACTTTATTTGACAGGAATTATTTTCCCTATGGGTCTACTAAAATAATAGTTTGAAGACAAAGGCGAGGTTACACAGCCTTATTTTCAGTTGCACATAATCTTTTTTTCCCCTTATTCAATGCATGTCTGTGAGTTCAGAGATCTTAATTCACAAAGGTACTTGGCTACGTTCCTAGCTTTAGGCAGAGTAATAGTTCTGTTGTCTTTACTTGGACAATTCATGTGCTTCAAGCTGAGTGCATGAATAGATAACTGGCTGAAGGCAGAGGATTATCTCAACCTTTGTATAGGAGTTCAGTAGTATTTGTAGGAGCAAAGTCTGTTTGCCCAAATGAGTTTTGTGTATGCAAGTTCAATAGCTTCTGCATCCAGGATTTAGAGCCAGACAAGTGCTTGTGTAGCCATTAAGCCCACCAAAATCTGAATGTATGAAGGTATTTAGGTACTCCCAGAAGCTGTAGTCAATCCAAGTAAATAATTTCATATTTTTTCTGCTTATATACTCATGAGAGTAATTTTTCTATCTTGGTTAATGTCTCATTTGGTGAAACAGATTCCAACTTATTTTTTGCTGAAATTATTTTCCAAGAAAAGCCTGGTAGCCAAGAACCTCCCTACAGAACTTGAAATGCAGGTCCCCATCCCAAGCCAGAAAAGCACAAGCAGCACACTGAGCAGGGGCTCTCAGGAGCGACAGTCATCGCATTGCACAGCTGAAAAAGCCTGAATCAGCAAAATAATAGAGCAAAATGGAAAACTGAAGAGTTCTGTGAGAAATTCTAGCCTGAACTGAAAAACAACTGTGTGACTAGCAGAGGCAGAGGGAGCCGAGATACAGATGGAACATGTAGAAAAAATGTTTCATGCTTCTAGACAATGTAATTCATGTTGCAGCTGGGACGGAAGAATATCATCAGACAGCAACTACTGGATATGGCATGTGGTGCTTCTGGATGAAGGGAAAGCACTGAAAAGACAAATGTTGACTAGTAAATTATTGGAAAGTGCAAAGAAAGCACATGAGAAACGTGGCCAAAGAAGTGAAAAATGATGCAGGGAAAGGTAACAGAGACATGCTGAAGGTCCTGTGGTTGAATTGGAAGCTTCTACTATGCTGGAAGGTCGCAGAAGCTTTAAAAAAATAAACAGCTGGAAAACTTCTGAACCAGAAATGGAGCCATGAAAAGCAAAGACAGAAGAGTGCTCATTTCCAAGGTAAAACAGAAAAAGAGCTTGGTGGTGCATTTCAAAGAAGTTGTGAACAGGCTCAGCTTCACCACATTTCAAAGGAACAGGGGAACCTGAACATTTTGCCCCTTTTTTGTGTTAAGAATAGATATCGAAAGCTCAGGCTGCAGCCATCATGCTGAAAAATATAGAGCCAGCAAAGGATGACAGGAGAAAAGCTTAGTGAAATGGGAAGTAAATGAATATCTGAGAAGAAATGATTGTGCCTAAAGAATGCGAATGTGGAGTCCATGAGTAGATGCCTATCATAAAGATCCCTCATATTGGAGAGGTGTCCTTGCTTTGTCCTGGGGAAAGTCTTCTACAGTCATACTACACAGAGTGAAAGGTGCTGCAGCTGTAGAATTTGGAGAAAAACAAGCTGGATTTGGCCTTGAGATATTGCAGAGACTGGTTGTTTATGTTGCAAATGACCGTGGAAGAATCGTTCTTCATGAAAGGCATCTTCTTTTGCATTGCTTTAACTGATCTTCAAAAGTTATCACTTAGCACGGAGAGATTTACATAGTAAGGCACGTTTGACATCTGCAAAGTCCCAGTTAGAAACATCAGAAACATACACAGAGATCAAAGTTCTCAGTGAGGTTAAATAATTGCACAGCAGAATGGTTCAGCCAGGAGGCTGGTCTGAATTATTTCTCTGCTGCTGTTTGGCATTGGCATGGGTTGACTACGGAGGCAGTGTTTAGGTCAAGCTTAGCTCAAAATCAGTTAGCTCAAATCCATCCTCCTTGTAACACAGATGTCATGTTGATGCAACATCCTGGTAATTTGGATGAGCGACATCTTTTCCAGCAAAACCAGTCAAGAAGGAGGTGAGATAAGGGTGTATATTCATAGCATGAATAGACATGGCATAGGGAAATAGGAAATAATGCAAGCTCGATTGCAATCTTGTGTTAATGTACAGCTGTGAGAACTGGAGACATACCAAAGTCACAGAGAGGAAAGTAGATGCTTTCTTAAGATGGATAGTGGGCATGAGATGATAAAACTTACCTTGTTGCAAAATTGTGCTGAAAAATCCTCAAGGAGCAATCTGTCTCTGGCTGGTGTCAGCGAAAGTGCAGAGGGTTCATGGGGCGGGTACACCACGTTAATGTTTCTCAGCCAGTTTGAGATCACGCTCCACTTTCTGATAACAATCTGTCTCGTGGTGTGTATGATCTATGCACTTACATATAATTTTACTCACACACCACAGTGAACACATCATCATCTTCTCTTTAAAAGAAGCCTTCGGTGATTACATTTTATATTAAAAATATAAATTCAACATTAACTGAGACAGAGATCATTCCCCACCAGCCCTTCCCACAGTCATTCTGCAAGTGTCATGGGTGCAGATGGGTGTGAGTGCACAGCAGCAGGCGTGCATACAGTTCAGGCATCCCCAACATATGCATTTCAGTGGAGCAGAGGGGGAGACTCAAATGGAGATTGCTCTGCAGGAACCAGGCGTGGTGGCCACCATGGCATGGCCCTCACCCACCTCTGTCCCCTCCCCACAGGCTGAGGGGAGCCAGGGCAGACATCAGGTTGGAGGCGCTCACTTCTGTCCCTCATCCCAATATTCAAAAACTCCAGCTCACTGCATCCTCAAGTGTGAGAGCAGATGCTTTCAATGACAGCACATTTGTGGTCATTAAATCATGCAATAAATACCAGTTGGGGAGAGAAAGCAAAATTCTCCAAAGGAATGTTTAAGAAGATGCCTTAACGGAGGACAAGCTATAACTGACCTCGAGACCAGCATGCTACTAAAAGCAGAAGCAGCAAATAGCAAAGAGAAGTTAAAACAGTTTACACTTTGTGCACTAGTGGGAGGATGGATGAATGAGTGTTCACAGTAGTAATGAATGACAAGCAGACCTCAAGGGTAATGTTCCTTTAAGAAAGTGACCTCATCTCTAATGTAAACTACCTATACAGGTGTGTAAACCTTTTCACTGAACGTAAAAAATTATGTTCAACATATTTGTCATCCCATAAAACCTCAGAGGAATAATGGAATGGAAATGTGCTTGCGTCTCATGCTAGGTTTGTACCCTGTGCTTCAAAATCTTCTGGTTCATGTCTAAAATAAAATAGGTCAGCACTACATTTTCTTTCAGAAAACCAGTCACATCATGTTAGCTGGTTGTGTGATAACTTGAGCTCGTCTCTCAAACCAATTAGCAGGGATTTTTAAACAGGGTTAGATGTGCCTAAATTGTATTTCGATCCTTTTTTAACTGGATGGATTAAAAAATTTTCTTATTGTTTATATACCTTTCAGAGTACACCACAGGAGGTGTTAAATCTATCAAATATATTTAACCGATTGCATTCCCCCCCCTCAAGTTGCTGTGGATATTGAACCAGTGATTCCTGTCAAAACTAAGGTGAACGCTGTCACTGGAGGTCAAGTGAAGACTCAATCTCAGGTGTGTTACATGTGTTTATCTAACAAAGTGCCCTTAATGGCAAACCAGCAATCACTCCTTCCCAGCCTCCCTTGAATGTCCATTAACCATAGGGATTTGCTGACTGTGGAGTAGGTAAATAGCTAAAGGTCTGGACTAAAGTAGGGAAGGTCATTTGGGGCTTTTTGTTGAAAGAGTAGGGTGGCCCATGTGTGAAAAAGCCCAACGCTAACCACACAGCTTGCACTACAGAGAGTAAATAACCTTGTCCTGACTCATTTTTGTCACTGCCTATCAAAAATTGGTTCCACTGAAATAACACCTTAAGTTTTTAGGCAGGAAATTCCAACTATTTCCCACACAGGAAACTGTTCTTTTTAAACTGTTTAGTAAAATGTACTTTAAACATATAAAACATATAGCAGTTAATTTTTTCCTGAAGCCAGCACTTGCTACATCATGTCCATTCCCAGTGCTGTCAATCATTATCCAGCCAGCATATTGTTCAGAAGGTGGAGCTGTCAGGCAGAAGGAATAAAAGGTAAGAAAAGGAAGGCTTATGTTTCTTGCTGATGCTGAGGGTGAGATTATGTCAAACCTTTAAACAGAGTCCCCTTTCTCTGCCCCACCCCCTGCTCCTATATAACACGTGCTGCAGTTAGCAATACCTGCTTTTTCCCAGCCAGTGGTGTGCCTGCTTCTTGACCCTGCCGATGGATGCTCTCCCCAGCAGCCCCCTCGAATGGCTCTGTACAGGCGTCACTTTGCTTTTTGGGGTGACTGTGCTCTGCATGGTCAAGAGGAGCCCAGTAGAGAAAGCAGATGTGCTGGTCTGGAGGGTCCTGCCTGCCTTGCTGGGGCTGCTGTGCGTGGCCACCCTGGGGGCTGGCGTGGGGCTGGTGGTGTTCTGCGCCGGGTGCCTCATCTCCTCCATGTACCTGGGTGTCAGGGCGCTGCTGCCTGTGGGTGACAAAGCTGTGCTCATCACAGGTAAGGTGCTGCAGATCGTGCCAGGAAGCAAAAACTGGCTTTTCTCACAAGTAGGCTGGAAAACTTTGTGCTCTCGGGTTATGTGAAATGCATGCTTCTGAGGTTTCCTTTTTTTTTTTTTTTTCCTCATTTTATTTGCTTTGCCAGAGATGTATTTTCCAGGTAAATAAGTGTTCTGAAATTAAGTAGAAAAGCATCTTAATAGATGCTATTATTTTTTAGTGTCTCATTTAATCTTTACAAGTAGCTTTTTAGACATACTTGTGAAATTAACTGGTGCAAAAAGCACAAGAATACTTACGATGGTCTAATTTTTTAGGAGACATTAATTTCTGGAAGCCGTTAGAACACTACATTCAGACATTACTTTTGTTTACTTGAATTGAATGCACTGGTTATGGATGTACAGTTATCTTTCAGTGTGCATGTTCACACAGTGCACACTGTATATCATGCATGTATGTCAAGACACTGCTTTGGTGACATCTCTGAAATGAAGTATGGAATCATTCAGGAGTGAGTAATTTCCTTCACTAACAGTTGAAGTTCAGAGCTAATGAATTCAGTCTCTGTTAACACTGATCTACTCGAAACCCACTTTTAGTTTGCATGGATGGCATTTCTGTTGGTTTATGGCTTTTCTCCTGTTTCTTCTAAAACTTTAAATGTTTATTTGTGTTAATCAAATCCTTAAACCACAGTGCCTGCCAACTGCTTCTTGCACTGTTCACTTGCTCTTTTTTTATTTTATCTTCTATTTTTCCCCTCTGGAAAGTTGAATCAAGTTGCTTTGGTTTATATAGCTATTTCTGGCAGAATTTAATTTTGTTTTATAGGGATACCTGGAAATAATTTAGATTTGCCTAGCAAGCATTAATATGGGGGTTAAAGTTAAGAGAGGACAAGATGAACAGCAAGTTCTCCCCTTGTGGTTTGTCTGCCAGCTGGGTTTCTCCTGCAGGTGTATCAGATGAAGATGGATATCAGGCAGGGAGGGAACAGGGAGCACTCCTTTCTCATCCTTGAAGATGCAGAGGTTGCACTTGGGCATCTCCTTGCTTAGTGTAAGACTGCAATTATTCAGGAAAAAGCACTCTCTCAGATCTTAGCTGCTCTAGAAAGTTTGAATTAGAGCAATATATGGGAGCAAAGAACATTTGGGTATATTTCATCAAATTAAGGTGTTTTCTTTTGTACCTGTGCTGCAACTGTACTGAAGAAATGCAAGTTTGGACACCAGCATGTCTGAGAAGGCTCTTCTTGGTCTTTATTTGATCCAGACTGGTATGAAATCAATCAAACCCTCCATCAACTGAAATGAAAGTTTTACTCAACACATTTCTTGGTTGAATTGCTCTGATTGTAATATTCCCCATACCAACTGTAGGATGTGTGTTGGTGTGCAGGTGCAAGGTGCCTTTAAATCAGTTTTAGTGTAATCTTCTCCAATTTAGACTAGACCTGAGGCAGGTACTTCATGGGAAATGGTGATTATTTGTTTTTTTTTTTTTTTCTTCCCCTCCACCTCTTTCAGCCCCACAGGGTTGATGAATGCTGCTGTGCTCTGGGCAGCTGCCCCATATCACCCGTGAGACAGCTGCCTTTGGCCAGAGAGTGGAGTCATCTCTGTGCTTCTCTCTCTGGGTTTTGTCAAATATTGTTCTGGTCCTCGTTGGGTGTCCCTTGTGTGGGTGAAGCTGTGTGTTATTTATTTAAACCAGCAGGTCACCAGAATACCACAGTAAGGGAAAACTGTGTCCAGTTGTCAAAATCCTTTTTCACATGAATAACTCTGGGCATGTGAGCAGTCTTAAAGTCACTGGTGAAACATTTCTATTGATCCTCTTGCTGGGAGTGAGTGCTTCAGTGAAGCTCCTGGGCATGTGAACACTTTAGTTTGGTAGACTGAATAGCCCACTTCCCTAAAAATTAAATTACCATGAAGATCTGAAGTAGCAGGAATTGTGTAATTCTTGCCTCTGCTATTCTGTGTGCAGTGGGATGAATTTCTCCAGTTAACTCGGTCTTTTCATTCCTGATGTGTGACCTGGTGTTTCTGATGCTTAGTGTGAGTCAGTGATAAATTTATAGTAACGATTGAGTTACAATCAGTAGTGACTGCCTTTCTTATAATAAATCTTCTAATAATTCACAAATTGTTATTTCTGACATAGAAGCAAGGGGGGTGTGTGTGTGTGCGGGAGGAGTTCTCTATTTCTTCCTTATAGAGACCTAACCACTGTTTGAATTTTCTGAGTTGAAGGGTAAAGTTTCTCTGGACTTTAATAACAGGTCTGAAACTCAAATCAGACTTGTTTTGATAAAGGCTGGGGACAAACCCAGCAGCAGGCACAGATAAACACTGCTTTTCATTTCCTTCTCAGGGTTGCCACACCCATCCCTAGTTGTTGAGCACTCTGCCCCTTCCAAGTTAAAGCTATGTTGAAAAACTTTAGTAGGTATCTCTGTGGCTGTGTACTTGCTGGGAAAGATGAAAGTGGAAGGATTCAGAAATATGTTTTTTTCATTAAAAGAAAAAAAAAGGAAAGACATCCCACTTCCAAACCCAGAAATCTGTCGTGTCTTTGGGATATTTGCAGGCCTCTTTGTGTCTCTTTAGGGAGTTCCAAGAATGCAGGTTTGTTCTCTTTCAGGTTAGGACTATGAGAAGCTCAGTGTGCTATATTTGGTGCTCTGGTGCATCTTCAACAAACTACAGACTTCAGAAATGCCAAAAACCTTTTTTTTTTAAGAATTAAGTAGAGCATGAGTAATTCTTTTCAACATGTTGCACTGATTGATCCAGGCATTTAGTATGTGTTCCTGTCAAGTCACCTGAAGTTAATTTTTTTCACCTTTCAGTACTTAAAGCCCCAGTTAAAAGACAGAACCCAGAAATGAGGATCTAGCATGGTTAAGATGAGTCTCTTTGGCAGTCAGATTCTATTGACTGTGGATTTGACTCCTGCAGCACAGCCCCTGTAAAATCCTTCCCTGTCTCTAGCAGAGCCCTGTGTTGCTTCATGGTGAGTTTTGGTGGGCAGATGGGTGAGATGTATCTTCCCTTGATAAGAAGTTTCTCTGTAGATGGGAAGAATGAAAACCAGAATTATAAAAGACACCAGGAAAGAAAATACTTAAAAGTAAGAAAGAAGCAGCAAAATACTGCCTCAAAGGCAGAGACTTGTGAATCAATTGAATTATTTATTAAACAGTTATCACTGTTACCTGGTGGGAGAAATTGCACAGTTGTGATGGCAAAGATTGTTGTGTGTTTGCTCTAACAGTGCTTCCTGCATTTGGTAGTTCATTACTTCACATGGACAAAGTTTGGGAATAAATTTGGAAGAGGATAGAGAGGATAAGAGAAATTCTGATGCAAATTTACAGAATTAAATAGCTGCTTCTATTTGGCTTAGCCTAAAAATGCCATTCTGAAGCTTTCTTAGGGCTTGAAAGCATTGAACTCCTTTGCAAGTAAAGAAATAGTTGCTTGGCTTTGGGTTGATTGCAGTCTGTGACAAAAAAGTGTTTATCAGAAGCATCTGGACAGTAGATGTTTGAATAAATCATGCTACTTGTTTGAATTAAGAAATAGAACCCAACAATTTGAATTCCAACGCCTATTTATTTGTCCATCTAAGATTTAAAATTAAAATGTTTGTTTGTTTGTTTTCCTCTAGATACTTTTGTTATCAGGTTTCAGTCTGAATATTTGTATAAACCCACTCTAGGGTTTTATTTCCTCTGCATGTATGAAGAAAGTCTTAGAATCTGTCAGTAGTAGGGTATGAGCTGATGCCATCAGCTCTGAGCCCAGAGGACATGGTCTGTCAATTTTTGTGGAACATGCTCCTCAGACCTTCAGTTCTGAACCTTTCTTCCTACTGTCATATGTATTTTAGTGACTTTATTTCAACAGCTTTTTGGTTACATCTGTATATTCTTCCAATATGTGCTTTTTTTTTTTTTTTTTTTTTTTTTTTTTTTTTTTTTTTTTTTTTTTTTTTTTAAATGATGGTTAAGGACAGGCCCACTTTTCAAGTGTCTTTTTGATGTTTTCAGGAAGCGACACTGGGATTGGACATGCACTGGCTAAATACCTGGATAGCTTAGGTTTTGTGGTGTTTGCTGGGGTTTTGAATGAGAATGGACCTGGAGCTGAGGAACTGAGACGGACCTGTTCTCAGAGACTCTCTCTGCTGCAGCTGGATATAACCAATGCCACCCAAGTCAAGGAAGCCTATCTAAAAGTGTCAGAGAAGGTGCAAAATACAGGTAAAGGGTTTTTTTTCCATTATAATGGGAGTACTAATGTAGCTGCTTACGAGGTGCATCTCTTAACTGTTGGCTGCATCATGGCTACCTACATACATGTGTGTAGGTCATTTCCACACACAGTCTGTGGGCAGTCAGGGTATTTGTATTAATGACTCCTGCTTTCTGGGACACAAAAAATAGTGATGACTGTTGATGGAGTGGGTACTGTGTATCTCTAGTTGCAGATCATCTCTGCTTGGATCTGGAGGCACCATCCAGCTCATTAGTTTAATCTTTATGGTGTTGATTTCCTGCTGTATAGCAATCCTGTGCTTTCTTCTCTTTCCAGGGCTCTGGGGAGTTGTGAACAATGCCGGCATCCTGGGCATCCCTGCTGACGCTGAGCTGCTCCCCATGAGAACGTACAGGCAGTGCATGGAGGTGAATTTCTTTGGGGCTGTAGAGGTGTCAAAGATTTTCTTGCCATTACTTCGGAAATCTCGGGGGAGGCTGGTTAACATGTCCAGCATGGCAGGTGAGCTGAACTAAAGCACTGACTAAATTTCTGATGCAACAAAAAAACAACTAACTTCCTTGGCAAAAATGCTGAGGAAGGTGTTGGTCAGTCTTGCTTGTCAATACACCTAGGGAATTAATATCTAGGTTTTTTTATTTTGTTTAGGAGACTATTTCCAGAAAACAGCATTTAAAGAAGACTTTAATATGGCTAAAAATATGCTCTTATAGAAAAGACAGTAAAATTCAGATCTTGTGTTATAGATGCTATGAGTGATAGCTCTGTGAGCTTCCAGAAAGGTGGGTGGTAAATCACAGATGTTGCTATAATATGTTCCAGCAGAAGTCTGTGACCACCTCAGTGAGTGTGTCATTGAATCACACTGCGGAGATACCCAAAAGATCTCTGCCTTTTGCAGAGACAGACCCTCTTCCATTTGGGCTAGTTGCACCTAAAGTCTCAGTCTTTTTTTAAAACTCTGGGTTAAAACTGGAGCGTAAGTATCTTTTGGGTAAGTTAATAACATTTGCTATTTGTAACAGTCTATAGTAAATGTTAGATATTTCTCCTGGGCAGCTCCACCTCTCCATCCCTGTAGGGCTCAAGTACTATAGTTAGAATGAGAAAGCACAATGATGAAACACCTGCTGAAGAGAAACATTTAACTCTTCGAGCCGAAGCCAGTTTTATTTTTTACTACATCCTATGGTTCTTTCCAGAGTGTGTAGTGCGAGAGCATGGTCTGCTAATAACCTGGGACCTGAAGAGAGCATGTTTTTATATTTGTTTTAAATATTGTGCATTCTTTTAAAAAATACATTAGCCTAACATATTAGCAAAATGGTGTTTTTTCATTCATAAATTTTAAAAAAATTTATTAGCAGCCTATAATATGCTCTTCAGTTTTGTCTCATAAATTGGATCCTGTTCTTATGATATATGCCTTTACAACATGACCTTCTAGTCTAGGAGGACATCTGAGATGCCACGATGTAGGAACAGAGGTAATACAGTATCTGGTAGCCAACAGCTGACGAGCAAGAAAGCTCCTTTGAAAATGAGACCTGCTCGAAGCAGGATGTTGTGATGCTGGAAAGTATTTTTGTTTAAGATGTCTTAGCGATTTACCATATCATCTGCTTCCCAAATTTTCCTTTGCCTTGTCTTCTTGGACCCTTATTTCTGCACAGTTGGTGTCCACTCAAATCCTGTTGTGTTGCCATGGTGGCTTGTGCGAGCATTACCTTGTGTTCAAGGTTTATTTTGAGGATGTGGCCTCAGCCTAGTTTTGCCACTGCATTCTTCTGTCTTTTTTTTTAATCCCAATCCGCATGCCTGTGTTTCTGGTTTGTTGCTGACACTTAAAGAAATCAGGACTGAATTATCAGAAGGACCTTTCTGGTGCTGCTCTGCCCACCAGCCCTTGCAAGCACAGAGACAGAGGACAGACCTCCTGTTTTCTCTGAGCACCCAGGTGAAGCCTGCACTTTTCATGTTTTGGGGCAGATGTTTTATCTATTGGCATGAATCCCCAAGATGCCTTGTAGGGATAAATAGAGAGTTTCTCTGTGCTGAGTAATTTGCCCTTACAGGAGCTGATAGTGACCCTGCTTAAACTAGAGCTGTTTGCACAGATGTTCTTGCACATGGGCTGGTTTGGGTAAATAGCTTCCTCTTAACACAGGGTCTGAGGGTCCTTTGGTAAAACATTAGCTGAAAAGTTAGCGAGGTCTCATTGTGCCGTATCTATTCCTGTCTGTAGAGCTAATTTAACTGGGTTTGAGGTTAGCCTGACCTCAGAGGGAAAAAGTATGTGATTCAATTGACTCAAACCATTTGAAACTCCAACTTATTCAGATGCATACAGAAGAATAATTAACATAATTGGCCTGACTTCTTCAAAGGAATGACTCTGTAAGATGCTCCCATGATATACCTTGATTGTTGCAGTACAAAACCCAATAAATGGCACCAGTGGCTCACCTGAAAATTCCCCTGTATGGAAGTATTCTCTTTTCAAGGATTATAATACATTGAGATAAACGTGTAATGTTTGAAATGGAGGCTGTGCTGGCAAATGTGCCCTGTTCTGTTCTCTCCTCCCCACTATGCCAACACAGCCCGTAGTGGCTGGGATGAACTGTAAATCTGGCAGTAATACTCCGTACGGTGATAACACGAACCTTGTGGAGAAAGTAGAGGGGCTGAAGAAGGGGAAGATGCTCAAATCAAAGTGTCTCTGGATTTTTCTAAAGCTGAAGAAGTGACAGTCTGCCAGGTTTTGGAGCAGAGGAGATCTCTTTATTTGGAAGATATTTTCCTGGAAGCTTTTGTTTTGTAAACATATGGATTTATTTTAAATTCACCTAAAATACTGGCTAATTTCTATCTTTTCCATCTAAACAAATGCTGCTGGGATTGGAGAAGATGGGATACAACTGTAGGCAGGGGGATGTGCTTCTCTGATGGGTCTCAGGGAGTCCTGTCACCTCAGTGGTGTGATTCCAACTTTGGTTTGTCCACAGAGGTTTTCCCCACTCTTGCACTGTGATCTCTGGTCTTTTGGAAACTAGATGGAAAGAAATGGAAGATAAGTTGGCTTTATAAAGCTAAAATCGAGATTACTTACCCTGTCATAACTGTGGTTTATAGTAGGAGTTTGAAATTCGTGTTACGGTGACAACAGGAACAGCGACATTAAACTATTGCTTTGCTATTTATATGAACTAAAACATTATCTGTGTTTCTGAGAACAACAATCATAATTTTCAGCAGTTTTTTCCCTTAAAGGCAATACAGTTTATTTTTTCTGCTATACAAGGTGTCTTATCAGGTGTTACTGAACATAACTGCTACGAGCAACTGTTAATTTACAACTTTCACTTTTTTTTTTAACCTCTAGAAAGAAATGATTCCCTCACTGACCTGTCTTTAACCTCGGTGAGAGCTGCATAATTTTGGTTGCGCTATAATCTTCCTTCTAAATCACAAAAATAAAGGCTGGAAGGAGCCACCGTCGAGGTTTATCATGTTTATATTGCTCCTGCAGGAGGCATTCCACTACCGAGGTATGCTGCATACTCTGCATCAAAAGCAGCTCTGTCCATGTTTTCGGGAGTAATGAGGCAAGAGCTTTCCAAATGGGGAATTAAAGTTGCTGCAATTCATCCGTCAGGCTTCCGAACAGGTTGGTATTTGACATTTCGGGTAGTTCTTTCTGCCTTCTCTCTTTCCCTGTAGTCCAGCATTCTCAAACAGAGCCCTGAGTGATTCTCAACAGTCAGACTTTTTTTCCCCATTCTTCACATTAGTTATGGAAATCAAGACCTGCAATTTTTGCGAGAGATGTTCCCTCCAGTTCTGCACGCTGCCTGCCTCTGCCTTGCGAGTGTAGCCTTTCTCCTGGGCAGAGCATTCCTTGCTTTGAGACAGGACAGTGTCCAGGCAATTGGTGCCTTCCCTTTGCTCCAGCCTTGCTGAAGTGAACAAACCAAGCATCATGATGTGTTTGATGTGAGTGGTACGGCTTGCTCCTCTTGCATGAGAGCTTCAGGACTCACTGTCAGTCCTACCTGTATCAAGATCAGAGCTCTTACTGAGCTGCTTAGTCCTGCATCGAAGAATCTGTAGCGATGCCTGTCATCCTGATTACTTTCTGTCAGTGTTAGTGTATATAGTCTCTGATCTTTCCTCTGTTGCGCTCCTGCTGCTTTCTCTTCCAAATCCTTCTCCTCCTTCCACTGCTCTCAGCACTTTCTGCAGAGCCTGTCTGTGTTACAGATTAATCTCCTGCACCACACACCCTTGCTGCACCCCGTGCCCAGCTGGGAGCAGGAGGGGTGACACACAGGTCCCCACTCTGTGGACATGCCTGGCAGCTGCCCAAGGACAACATCAAACCCACTGCTACCTATTCAGCAAGTCCTGGTGACTTCATGGAGACAATTTTTATGCTGATGAAAAGCAAAATGTTCTTTTTGGTAAAACCCCACTCCTGGGTGGGGAGCTGGCAGGGCTCTGGGCTCTGACATGCCTGCGTGGTCAGTGGTACTTGGCTGAGGTCTCACCTGCAGGCCCTGCTTAGCTGTTGTCAGACTTGTGGATGAACACTTCATACATCAAAACAAGTCCCAGTATTTGAGTTTTAAGTATTTATTTAAAGATTTTTCTTTAAATGCCATACTTAATTCATGATAGTTAGGCAATAAATGCATTGGAAGAGCCACTGCTTTCATTCCTACGTGATGCAGATGGAGGAAAAATAAAATATTATTTTTTAAAAAAAGTCTGGCCTAATATAAGCCTTATCCTTCATGAAACTAGTTACTGAAATATCAATGTCACTCACAAAAGAGGAGCTTAGCATTTGGCCAACCCAAGTTGATAAATACTGATCAGAAGCACCCACAAAATGAATAAGGCCAGAATGGCAGGGGAAGGTGGGAGAGGGAAGGGGAAAAAAAAATGCTGACTTGGCTGTGAGAGCCTTTTTAGGTAGAGCTGGTAACCAAATGGTGCATGAACCCCATGGTTTTTGTGTAATCTGTGCTTTGTGCTTTCCCTTCTCTTCCTGGTAAAAGCACTCAGAGCTAACCAGCTGTTCTGGCTGTTCTTCACTGACCCAGTTTAGAACAACTGCAGATCAGGGTGGCGGTGGTGAACAACTTACTGACTACTAATTACCAGATAAAGGTTTTTCTTTTAAATTCAGCCCCAAACCCGCTTGCTATCCTGTGATGTTGCTACTGCAGGTATAGAAGGCACATCAGACCAGTGGGATAAGCAAATAAAGGAGCTGATGGAGAACCTGCCAGCAGCCACAAGGCAGGACTATGGTGAGGACTACCTCCTGGGGCTGAAGAGCTACCTCCTGCACATACCTGCGTACTGCAGCGCTGACCTCTCCCCCGTGCTGAGTGCTGCCCTGCATGCTTTGCTGGCCAAGAAACCACATGGCTTGTACACCCCTGGCAAAGGGGCTTACATGTACCTCTGTATCTTCTGCTACTTTCCTCTCTGGTTCTATGACTTTTTCATTAGTAAAATGATGAGTACTGAGTCTCTCCCAAGGGCACTGAGAACATCAGAAGCTGAGAGCAAGAATCTCTAAGGGTGTCCATCAGCGTTTGTCTTACTTGATGAGATAACTGGGAAAACCTCTATTTTAAGACACTGCTATTTATTGTACTGTCTTTGTTAAATTGCATTTACGCTGCCTTGCAAACAGAGGTAAATCTTTGTGTTAAAAGTAATGTTCAGGAAAAGCAGTGGATAAACAGAAATAGAAAGCTATCTGGAGGAGGAATTTCAATGTTTTCATGACGTCTTTGTATCCTGCCTTCTGTGTAAGGTATCTCATGAGGTTATAGAGTTCGTGTCTGCTCCAAAAGGCACCACCAACACACAGACACATTTATAACCTGGTTTTGAAAACAAAACAAAAAATTCCTTGAGAATCAACAACCTTCTTAAACATTAAAAGAAGTTGCATATAATCCTATCATTGGAGAGATTTAGCAATGTCTAATGCAAACCTTTCTCGCTGCAGCTTCAGCCTAATGTTTTGTGCTTTTTTTGCTGTTTGTTTTGGGTTTTTTTCTGTTGCTGTTGGACCTGAGAAATGATTGACCTTTTTCCCGCAAGTTTTATGAAGTTCGGCTGTGATGTTTATATGTGCTTTTAGTTAGACTAAGCAACATAAATTAGTTGGGGGAAAAATGAACAAAGACAGATCAAGACCTTCACAAAGCAGCTAACAATCTCCCTCCTACAGTATTAGAAAAAGTAATAGTAAGTATATCAGCAGCTAATTTGATATGACTGTCTTGGTGATTCTGTGCATTGCCTGTATATGCCTGTGCTGCTTTAATTATTATTAAACTCTGATCTCACTTCTGCTTTTCGTACAATTCCTCACTCAGTACCGGGTTTTTGAAGAACTCATGTTTTTGCCCATTTCTTCCGACACTTTCCTCTGTCTCCCTCTGTTTTGGGAAGAGTTTGTGCTTGCTCCTCTAAGATCAGTCAGTCTTCAGGTTGGCTTTACTGGAGTCCAGTGTCCATCTTCTGACAGATTTTGGATTTCCCTTCCCTAAATTAATTCTAGGAACATCAGGTGGCCTCCCTGCGGCTTGGCTGTCCCTGCACCTATACCATAAAACCCTCACCAATGCCAAGAGGTTGGGCAGCTCACCTATACTTTCCCTACCCCACTCCCTTTGTGCATTGCCTGTCACATCCTCGGGCTTTGAAAGGCTGGGAGATTTTGAGAGAAAGCCTTATCCCTCCAAGTTCTGGTTTGGCCTTCTCTCCTATGCCTTGCTTTGACCAGTTGCATTTCTTTTCTGATGATGAAAAAATAAAGTCATTATGTTCTGGGCTTTAAATGTAGATGCACTTTTTTCCTTTCCTTTCTGAGCAACTTCTAGTCTTCTATCATAATCCTACACGTGTGATGTACTCTTACAGTCACCTGAACAAATTCACAGTTTAATTTGCATCTCTAGTATTTCTTCCATCTCCTTCCTGCATCTTTTACATCAATGTGAGACTCATGTAAATGCACAGAGGATGCTCAGCAGACTTCCCCCACCGTTTTAATTTGTGCCCTAGTGTGGAAATCCTCCTGTCCTGTACATTTTGTCATGATTACTGCTTTTGCTACTGAGGCTTATTCTCCTCATGGGTTTACAACAGTCCCTTGATTACAGAATTTTGCTTTCGTATGAGAAAGTGTGACCAAAAATGCTTTTCACTCAGAAAATCTGGGACTATTACTATCTCTCTACCCATTTCTTTATCTAATTCCCCAATTTTTTGTCTGTAGAAGTGCATAATAAAAATAATTTAAAAATTGGATTGTTGTGACTATCTTATCTGACCCTTTGTGCTGTTGCGGATGTGTGCTACAGCCCCTCCTTTTCTGGGTTGGCCCTGTTCTCGTACTAGGAGAGCACCGAGGAGGAAGGTGGTGGACGACCTTCTCAAAGGAAAAGGAACAGAATGGCAGTCAGTGGCTTGTTTGGGGCAGGACACGATCCCAAATGGCTCAAAGGCAGCTCGTGACCTGAAAGGAAAGGCAGGTGCAATGGGGTGTAGGGCTGGGGGCACGCTGGGTGGCAACCTCTGAATTTTGGCAGTCTTCAAGGTGAGGGAACTTGTTGCTTGTCAGCCTGTCTCCACCTTGGATGGAGGTGGTTGTTTTTCACTTAAAGCCCAATTTAGGTGTAACAGGTGGGCTGGAATTTTGCCCTTAGGCACACTATACATTATACAACCAAAATTCCTTTTAGCAGCCAGTTAGCTGTTTTGTGTAGCAATCTTCATAACAATCTTTAATTGTTGCTTTGCTATTTGGCTGTGGTTATAAAATGTAAATTTTTTTCCTCCCCTTCACTTTCTTAATAGGAATATTATCTTGCACATTGCAGACATATTAAACTAGGCATCTCCGTCTAAGATTTGATTTTTATTTTTTTTTAATTTTATTTCTCAGGAAATTTGTGTTCTAAATAGTCATTTTATATCTCTTCACCTAACTACAAAGGTATTTCAGCAAGTCTCAAATAATTGTGGTATCAAAGATTGTTATTGTTTTGTTCCTACAGGGATCTTACTTCGTTTTAAAGATAATTCTGTTGTAACACATTATTGAATTATGTGTCATTTAATGGGCTGTAGCATTAGAGGTAGATTTCTTTTCTTAATGGCTTGCGTTGCAAATAATCCAAACTGGGAGAACTGCAGAATAAATTGTGGGTGTTTGTGGCCAGTGTGCCCCTGTGGATGTTAACGGAGACGTTAGCTCATGCTTTCAAGGACTAGTGTCTAGGTGTTGTGCTCCTTTGGCTACTAAAAAAGCTGATCTAATACAAAGCTTTTTTAGAAGTGGGAAGAGAGGATGTTTAGTTCTAGCAGTTGAAACTAGTGTATTAAACAAACCAAACTCACCACCATGATTTGGGCCTGTCTTCAAAGACAACATTTTGAACAAAAAGCATATGACATGAAGAAAAGCATCTGAGAAATTGAAGAAACTGTCTGTAGCCCTAGAAAAAGACTAATAAATAATACTCTAAAATGTCACTTAATGCCCCACACTAATCAGGTGTGTGTATATATATATATATATATATAAAACACACATGTGTATAGTTTAAAAGGGGTTATACACTGCAGAAATCATGACTGAAGACTAGTTTTATACACATCCCTCTGATCCAGTGTCCGGAATGCAGGTTGTGATCAAGAAGTAAATGCTGTTGGATGCTTTTTACCAAGCAAATCCCTGGTTGGTGTCCTGGGTCTCACACTCTCCTACTCTGTGTCTATTACTCTGGCTGACATCAGTTATTACTTCATGTGAACAATTGATTTTAAGATATGTAGCTTTGGTGAGATGAAAGGTGAGTGACAAAGTCGTTTGTTTTTATAACTTTTTTCACTCTGGATCCATTTGCACTCTTTATGGGCCCCCTGATGACAACCCTATCTAATGCTTCTATCACTGCAAGCTGGGGAAGAGAGATAAAATATCAGGTGTTTTTGTGGTTATGTCACTGGCTAGCCATGGCAGAAAGCCATGGTGGGGAGGTTTTGGTGGCCATCTGCAGAAGGACCACCTCTGCATTTCAAGAAGTGTTAATGTGTGGGATGGTCCATGAGGCTGGAGGAAAAGAAAAGGGCCATGAAAGTTTAAAGTGTGTTCAAATGAGAGCTCTGACAGGGAGTTCTGGGAGAAAACTGATGGTGTAGGAGAGTGGGGAGCTCTGGGTCACTGAGGGTTACAGACTCGTGTGGGCACAGGGCTTAATCCTAAAACTGCTTTCAAGCTCAGCAGGAGGTTGAGCAGCCCCTCCTGCGTCAGGCCAATTTGTGCTGGCTGCCTTCGTAATGTTTACCCACAACTTTGTTGTTCAAGACAAAACCGTCAATATAGCATCAAATACTACATCAAATACAGTCTTAAAGCCCATTTTTTACTGGTAGAGTCCAAAACCAGGGATGAGGAGAAAGGGAATAGTCACTTTTTCTAATTTGATGAACATGAACAGAAGCTTAGTTATTTCTAACCAAGAAGTATTGAAAGTTTGACTATGTGACTGTCAAAATAACTTCTTACTGTTAAGATATGCATAAATATTAGAGAATCTTCAGATTTTGCTAGTTTGAGTCCCTGCTGTCCTGAGGGAATAAGTTCCATGTTTCCATGAGTGCATGCCCTGCAGTGTATGCGGTTGTGGTTTTTGTTTATAGTTGCATAAGGGAAGTTCTTATAATGTTTGTATGAGTTCTTTATATGAAGAGGATGCTTCGGGGGAACTTCCAGATCTTGGTGATGTCAAAACACGCTGGTTTTGCTGTAAAATTAACTAGTCCAGGCAGGGCATTGCACAGATACAACTCAAATGGGTCACACGTTTCACTTGCTTGAATTGGAGCGTCCACATCTGGCCATCAGCACCCATCTGTGCATGAATAATATTATCAGCAAGTTTGGGACAAATATGTGAATTTGGTCATGTTTTTTTTCTAGAGAGACTGGTTCTGGGATCCTTTCTGGGACAAAATGTTGCCTGGTTTAGCCTTTTTATGGCTATGTTTCAGAAGCCAGCTGCATTCCCAAAATGATGCAACGCACAAGTGTATTGTGCATCACAGAGTTGTTGTATTTCTAGGACTGCTTAAAGAAAATTCCTCTGAAATAAAATTCATGCAGCCTTCAAAGGAAAAGTGTTAGAATAAAAGATCTTGGCTCTTACAAGGAAATTAACAGGAAGGGTGATGTGGTTTGGGGTTTTTTTTTTTCATTTCTTAAAAGAGTTAGGATACATAAATAGAAAGTATTTCCATTGCCAGGAAACACCCAGCACGTTGGATTCTGAGATGCCTAAGGTGCAGTCGTTCCTGCTGAAAATTATCAGCTGATGTAGTGCTCCCCGGTATGCAGACACCATTGTAGGCAGTATTTCAATAGCCAATGCTTTTGTCATCCAAGCTGAACATTAGAGCTGTTGCTGTTCTATTATAGATGTATTGTGGCAACCTTGAGGCAGCGGGCTTTTACCATAGTAAGAGAAGTAATTACTTTTATTTTTAAAGCATGACCAAATCATAAATCAAGAATCACTGACATCTCATGAAAGGAGGTGAGTTTTAAATCTCTTTAATAGGATAAATGGGTTTTAAGCATGTTGTATAGGTCATTGTAACCTAAGCTAATGAATCTGGCTTTAACAACCTGTATGAAAGTAATTACGGTGATAGAAACAGTCTCCGCAGGTTTAATGCCTGGAATATGTAGGCTGAGCAATCCAAGTTTATATCCCTGTTCATCTTGTTGCCTTTAGCTTTGGCAAGAGCACTGAACAAGCTGGAAACTAAACCTGTGAGCTAAGAATTTGGATCTTGCCATGAGTGAGAAAGGTAAAGGTGGCTGAGTGGCCGAAGGATGGGTCTCAAATCCTAGTGGAGCCAGCTCAGTCATTATTACTAGTCTGATCAATCAGGAAAGCTCTGGGAGGTGCAGAGTGTGTAGCTCTTTCTACAGAGCCTTTCAGATGTGACCTCTTTATTAGACTATTTTTCTTCTGAGAGTTTCACATTCCAGCCATGTTTTCACCTAGCCCATCTGGATTTGGGACTTTCCCCTTGTGGCATAAAAGGACACATTTCACACTTCAAAGAGCTGAAAGATGAAGCTAAGATCAAGCGGTGGGAGAATGAAAGACTGAAAGAAAACAAAATGACAATGATTGGTATAAATGGCAGATGGAGAAGGTGGCAAAGGCAGGCAGGCAGCATGGGGATGCTCAAGGAATGGGTTTGAGCAGGTTCAGCTCTGTTGGCATGTCACACTCTCACTCATGTTAACCTACCTGTCTTCCACACCTCCTCCACCACCTGACTTTAAAAAGTGCTATTTAAGAGACTGTGAATTGTGATAAAATGACTTACTTTGAGGCTTTAAATGTGTTACTTGGTCTTGTAGCATCCCATCCCACAAGACCCTGGGACAGGGGTGCCCTGTTCTGACATAGTGTGTTGTAGTGAAGACAGGGGTGGATGCTCCAAGCTTGACCTGATCTCAGTGGCTTTAGGTGGTAATGGCAGAAGCAGGTCTTTTATTTCCACATCCCTGGGAACGGGGAGACGATGGTGGTGGTGGGACAGTGCACACCAGTGCTCCCACGCTAAGCCTGCACAAGTCTGGCGGTGCTGACTTGTTTGCTCTCTTTCTTTGGGGGAAAGAATATCACACTATACTTTGTTTCATAATGGGAAAAAAAAAATAATTTTGCCCTTTAGGCATAGAAATTTCCATAACCATTTCCATAGCAGCAGTCTGTGAGAGTAGGCATCATTGTCTGTCCTGAGTGTCCTGTGGGCATGCACTGTCAGCAGCAAGTGCTGACACCAATCCACCAGCCTGTGTGGAAATCTCTGAAGTGTGTGTGACAGCGAACAATGCAAACAAGGTGAAGAAGTTGAGCATCCGAGAATGGCCCAAGGGTGATTTACTCCCCCACTGTGTGGGCAAATCCTACCTTTTCAGAAAACGGGTTAGAAATCACTGTTATAGCTTCTGTATATCTCAGAAAGCATCTTAATGTGTTTAATTTTTCAAACAAACTCAGTTTTCTGCCTGAAGGACAAAATCCTAAAGGGCTAAGTTAATTAAAAAGATGAATGGGGGAAAACAGAGCAAACACGATACAATTATTATGTTTTAATGTATATACAGCAATGTAATCATGTTGCATGCTTGGCATAGATGAATT